ATTTGAATATCTAGTCGTGTTACTGTTGATATCCTTTCAATTTGATAATAATTCCATTGTGTGGATACTGTAGTGGATTTTTCTGTTTGTATCCCGAATATATAAATAAAAATAAATAATAACTCAATGGCGGCCATTTTGAACATTAATTGGGGGGTATATAACAGTTTTAGATTCAGTTCGAGATGCTTCAAATAGACGAAGAAATGACTTGGTAATCCATAAAAAAACTTTCTGGAAGCTTTGAGTCGCCCTGTATATTGGAAATACTAAAAAACACTTTAAACTATCCCACCTAACCTAGTGCTTCAATTTTTTTTGCGAAAAACAGAAAAAGGTTATTATAATGGTTAAAACCCGTCGTTTAACCTTTATAATCGATGAAATAAACTTTTTAGCCAAAACATCCTGACAGATAATATTATCCAAACTGTATGTGAGAAATTCTTCAATCATACAAGCACTTTTGTAGAAACCTACAGCTTTAAAAGTAGTCCGACTACCGCAATAACATCACTCCCAGAACTAAGTGTTTCTCAACAGTTTTATAGGGGTAACATAGTAGCTAAAATACGTTGAAATGCTTTCTACTGATACCAATTTATTTTATATAACGACGCCATTTTAAATGATAGCGATCCGGGATACTGAAATTAGATGAGTTGAAAATATGAAATACCGCACATGAAGTGATATTTACAGCTGGAAAGTACATAAATATTATTACATTATATTATTCAGAATGAAGTGAGTTAAGTTTGTGAATAGAAAATCGATACGTCGTCGACAGAGTGAATTTTTATATAATTAATAATTTTACCGGAAACATTTATAAATGGGTGGTGCGCTCAAATTTTGCTAATAATAGGCTATATATTTGTCAATAAAATTGCATTTGCAGTAAAAATATCAATCTTCGAAACACAAACAATGTCTATGATAGTTTTATGAGTGCAAAAGCAACCTTTCTATTTCTTAGTTTTCAGTTGGTGATATATCAATTATATTTTCCTATTGTACAATACAAAATTACTCCTTGCGTCTTCAAGAAAACTTTTTTTAACACTTTTTTATTTTATTGTTATCGTTTTCGGCAGTATTATATTTTATAACGCCTACTTGGAACTACTAAAAAATTCTTATAAAACTGTCTTCTGATTTTTTATAAGTATCGCTTGAATATGTTGCAAAACTGCAGTAAGGGATGTCTTTACAAAACTATTTTTTAAGATTGTTAGACAAATTTTATAGTAACTGCCAAAATGTTTATAGGACTGTTTTGTAGTGTTTGTAAAAGGCCTTACAAAATATTGATAATAACTCTAATGTTTTATGAAACGGTGCCAATTTTCTATTTATAGCAGTTTTATAAACACATTGAAAACATTTCTGGGAGAAATGTAGTTTTATAATTTGTTTCTCCGAAACATTTCCGCAACTATTATAAAATACGAAATTGCTAGTGGGGTAGTTATTGTTTTTAGCTTATTTGAAAAAAATAATTTTTTATTTCGATGTTCCTTAAAAGCATGTTTTTTAGTTTTTCAAACTATATTTATTATTTGAGTGGTTGAACTAATTTTTCCTCTACCAACTATCGGTCTAGGCTGTTTCATAGCCCACAATTCCTATTTTGGGAACGGTAAGACCTAGAAGGCCGGTTAAATTGAACTGAAGTTTTCTATTTTGGGAAACTGGAATGATTTCTTTTCAGTTCGAGAATATCGGCGGTTATTTTGAAATATTGGAAAATACTGAAATTGTCGAATCTCTTTTTTTGGCTCTACCGCATCTGTCACATCTGATACGAACCAATTTGTGATGCGACGTTTCGTTCATTGGATTCAATCGTTATTTAATTACCTAAATACGTACTTATGATTATTTTAATTCGAATTTTGTAGCCACTGCTATAACAAAGTCAGCCACGTTTTACAATGCGAGTGTTTTCAGACTTTTTCTTATCATCACTAGATGGTCATATAATTCCCGTTCAGAGCTACCTCAAGAAAGTAGGAACCAATATTTTTTGGGTCTTGAACGCAAAGCTATACATAAACTCCACATATAGGAGAAACATGAAATTATATCAAGCGACAAACAGAAAACAATCTCAAAAGATATAACAAATCAAAAACTTGGTTATTTGAATTTTCCATATGAATTTTGAGGCTATGTGAAAGAAGTGTGGATACAAAAGTTGTGGACCTTTTTATTATCCACAACTCTTCATCAAATTTTTCCATAGAACTTGTAATTTTGCCGGAAATCGCGATAAACAGTTTTTCACCCTTAAAAACTCACTACCTTTCACTTTTCGATTTCAGATCGCCCGACATTCACTGTTCCTTCCATTTTTATCATATTATCTTCCTCTCTACTACTATTTCATTTGACTTATTACCTTTTCAGAAAGCTTCGGCACTGGAATAAATAATAAGGTCTTTTTAAAAATTCATTTCTAACATTATGATTTGTTCCTGGGGTAATTTCGTTGTAAACATCTTTTTCTGTCCACAGGTTATGAATTTGCGGTTGTATAACGTACCTTTTAGATGTCACATATCTCCTCTAGAAGCTTCATATCAAGTGATCTAGTCGAAAACTCATTAGGATTTGTCAAATTTTCTAACCAGTAGCAAACGTGGTTTCTCGAAATGGCCCACTGGGTCACCTGATAAGGCATCTCTATTTCTGAGGAAATACGTGACATGTACAACCACAGTTCATTTTAGAAGGAGGGAGGGCTATTTATGTCTACATTGTACTCCATATGCTACCTCTCCATATTTTTCTGAAGAGAGAGGCTAGATGGACTGCATATGGACTTGTGCACATGGCCAATTGAACAAATCAATTCAATGAAGAGTACAACAGAGTGTTGGTCGACACTGGAAGTCACATCATTCTGGAAATGACCTCTGACTTTATGTCTCCAACTGTCAACTACGAAGTGCCTTATAAACTACTGTTCCCGAGTAGAGGACTGGATCCTCCGTGAGAAGGAAACATTAAGAGCAGACAGTTGTTGGTGTTTTCAGTCGCAGGTGTTTTCAGTCGCAGACCCACGACAGAGAAATCAACCTGTCTAGGAACATTTGCGACCGTATTTCAAGCGGAGATTCACGCTATTGAATTATGTGCGGGGAGATTGGGAGAATTCAACTCCATACAAAAGTCAATAAAAATATTCTCGGGCAGTCAAGCGGCGTTGGAAGCGCTGGGCAACGTCTAAGTTGACAGCAAAATGCTAAAAACGACTCTCATCGATAGGAAGACTTAACAGATCATCTTTGGTCTGGATTCCTGACCATACTGGCCTGGAAGACAATGAGGCTACTGATTCCCTTGCAAAGGAGGGTGCTGCGAGCAATTTTTTCAAACCAGAACCTGTCATTGGCATCGCTTTAGGCTTTGCTAAACAAAGATTGAACACCTGGATGGCAAGAAGATTTATGGACTTCTGGCAGAATCTTCCAGGACTGGCTCACACCAAGTCCCTCATTTACCCTTCGAAACTTCATACCAAATAGTTGTTGGACTACAGTAGGGATGAAGTACGATGTCTTACAGGTCACGGTCATTTGACAGAGGGGACCTAATCAGGTGTTTAGAGTTCGGCAGGGCCATACTCTTACCTTTTAACCTGAAAGACCACTCACCATACGAACTAATCGGCTTCGTTAAGAAGCTGGGTTTATTTGGTTGAGTGTGAATGGGTGTGTACCATGAAAAACCCTTGCGGGTTGCGATGGAAGCTCGAATAGACCCACCCACTTTGGACCTAATCTAACCTAACAACATATTATGCTATACTGGGAAATTAGTATAATTTTAAAATGTCTGAGAGATACGCTTTTGAATTGATGACTCTCCAGACTGTTCCAATCGTATATTTATGAAAATTTTCATAGAAAGTACCATTTTTAAAAGTTTATTGAATTAATAGAATCAACATTCCTGTTTTTTCGGAACTTGTTACATGAATCTTGACAAAAAAATTAGGGGTAATTCATCTCACGAACTCAGTCGATGAATTCGCATCAGCTGAATATTTGTTTTATGTCAATATTCATTTCATTGTATACATAAGACCATTCAAATTCCCTGAAAAACACAGGGGTCCAAAAATTGAGTACTACAATATTTCAGAAAAATGTATTGTGCTTACTTCAAATAAAATACGTTTTCCATTTCTTCTTCATTATTATCAACAAATTCAAGAATACCAACTTACTGTCAATTTAAAAAACGAAACAAATTACAATCATCCATGTTTGTGAATACAAATTAAAATTTCAGTTTCTCAGTCGTAACTGTTAGTAAAAAGTCTGGGCATAACAACTCTTATCTACATCAAAAAAAAGTATGATACCTAGCATTATTTTGTGTTTCTGCTCATCTGATAGGGCTGATAAAGTTGACTCTGCATCGACGAGTTGCATTCCTTCGAACACATCATGAATGTACGAGATTAAAATCTCCTTTTCTCTTGCCTTCAAGCTGTTCATGATTATATTTCCAGCATTTTTCACGTCGAGTAGACTCAATGTTACTAAACCAAATCCAATACAGAAAGCTACAAAAAAATACAGTGTGAGTCGCATCGAACTCCCTTCAAAAGTTTGAAATGAAGGAGTGAATATACTGTACTGTGAAAGCAAATTTTTGTTGTGGGGGAATCAATACTTGTCACTGTTTTTTGAAAAAATACACAAAATAAACACAATCTGAAAAAATAAAAGCTGAGTCGATAGAGAAACTACAGAAATGTAATAAAGGCCAAACTGAAAATTTCTTCCCGAAAAGTTTCAGTATGTCTATTATTACACTTCAACAGATTTTTCATTGATTAAGCTTTGTTGATTTTCCAGATTGTGAAAGGTTATATACCCAAAAGCAATGAAAAAACGAGAATCAAAACGATCGTTATCTAAGTGCATCTTCATCTGGCGAACCAACTCCAAAGTGTGCAGAGAAGCAACAATCGGCTGACAAGGTTAAGGTATCATTATTTTGGGATGCGCATGGTATAATATTTATCGACTATCTTTAAAAGGGAAAAACCAGCAGCAGCCACTATTATAGGATATTCACGTTAAGAAGAAAATTACATTTTTGGTAATTTTGTATATCCAATATAAAAACGTTAAAATTCCAAATGAAATGCGTTGAATAGCAATGAAACTAGTGAAATTTCATTTTGTAAGTTGCTCAACTGATTGAATTTCAGACGTAGACTAATTAAAAAAATAAAGCTAGAAAACTGTCAGTCTTTCTTTTCTTTTCAGAACTAATCATTTCTATTGATAAGACCAGCGTATATTCAATAAGCCTGAAGCATTGTCGAAACAATCTCAACAAATAGTAGCATCTTCAATAGACTACTTTGAAAGAGAACGTGAGATTGTAAATAAGATTGTTACATAAGATGAATCAATACATTATAAATTTACGTTGTAGGAATAAAGCACCATCTATATATGAAGGTGATACACTTGTAGAAAAATATGGGCATCAAGGGTAAATATTCATTTTGAGGGCACCAGGGGATTTTGAAAAAAATTTTGAATGCACTTACGCATTTTGATGCGCAGATTACGAATCCAAAATAAAAAAGCTGCGCTCCCCCTTATTTACAAAGTTACGCTCCTTCAAAGTTCAGACAGGGGCAACTTTTCAGCCTTACCTTTCAGAAGATAAACTATTTAAAAACACAAGCATTTATTCACTAGTTCATCTTTACACCTTATTTCTCCTTAAGTGACACTTTTCAATTCAACAATCAATATTTTTCCAATATAAATGTTAAAAAATGTACGGATCTGCTTTTTAGTTTTATGTTTATCTCTGTACTTTACGTTTTTAAGGTTTACATATAAAACTCACCTTCCAATCTGCTCACGAAAGCGAAACCTAATAAAAACAAGATTATTCTGAAGACAATCCAGTGTTTTGAAATCACGCCCAATTTCTTCTCCATTGATAACATTTGGCATACTTCCAATATAATTCTTTTTCTGTTGTCCATCTTTGATAATAATTCTAACGGTTTCGTTTCGGAAGTTTATTCTCACTGAAAAACTGTTCTATGAAGGTGCTGAGTTTTGAGAATCATCAATAAAAACCACCAACGATCGACGACAAGGAAGGGCATATATTATCAGTTCTTTTAATAAATGGTACAGGGTGATTTACGTCTGTTTGAAGGTGATTGACAATGTTCCATGATGATTTTCATTCGGCTACTCAACACTTGTCTAGATTTTTACTCCCTATAATACAACCATTACAAGGAAAACCATCGTCTTTTGTTAAGAATTCAAGGCATTTTGTCGAACTACTAGCGGCAATTGAAGTCACACATGAAGATCAATTAATCAGTTTCGACGTGGAAACCTTTACACCAACGTTCCGGTGAAAGAAGCACTCTGAATCATTCAGACGGAGCTATTCGAAAGTGAAAGATAGAACGAATTTACCTATAGAAGTAATTATGGAATTACTAGGATGCTGTGTATGAAACTGTTATTTCCACTTGAAGGACGAATTCTTTACAGAAGATGAGGGACTGCCAATGAGATCGCCACTTTCACCAGTCATAGTCAACATATATACATAACATGGAGTGCTTTGAAACTCTGGCAATTGAAAAAGCCCACAAGAAACCTCGTGTCTGGTTGAGATACGTAGACGACACCTTCATAATATAGAACCATGGAAATACTGAACTAGACGCCTTCCTGAAACACATTCACAGCATAAAACCTTCCATCACTTTCACAAAGGAGAAGGAAATCTACAATGAATTGCCATTCTTTGACGTATTGGTGAAGAGGACCGACACTGAGTGGAAAACATCTGTATACCAAAAACCCACTCACACGGGACAGTATCTGAACCACGAATTCAACCACCATCAATAGACTAAAAGAGAAATCATCAAGACTCTATTAGACCGTACTTTCGGGCTCTGCAATGCGAAGGAGGAACTAGACATCATCAAAAATGATCTTCAACGGAATGGCTACCCCAAAGCGATGGTAGAAAAGACTTTGGCTAGAAGACAGCAGGAACCTCGCAAGGGAGAGAAGCCGTCACAACCAGTGCTTGCACTTCCCTACATCAGAGGATTATCGGAGAGGATAAGAAGAATTGGTTCCAAGTACAACATCAGAACCTGCTTCAGATCCGGAAACACGATCCGTAGCAGCCTCACAATAAAAGACCACCAACCACGGACTGCAATTCCAAGAATTGCATTCACCGGATACCCCCGCGAGTTCGCATTGCCGTGCACAAGAAATACACACAGCGATGGGAAACCAGCAAATAAGGAATAGCAGAGATTGTTTGAACCCATCAATATAACATCGAGTAGTCCCAAGCTAAGATCATACACAGAAAGGAACATTGGTTAAAGGGGAAATTCAAAAAAGCCGCATACATGTTGTCCAACAACATATTCAGCCAAGCAGCGAAGCTCTCTGGCTTACAGAGACAGGCTTGTCTGGCTATCAGTGGTGCCATCAGTACCACACCGTCAGCGGCCATGGAGATCCTTCTAGATCTACCTCCTCTTCAAATTTTTCTGGAAAGATAGGCTAGATGTACTGCACATTGCCAATTGCACAAATCTACTCAATGCAGAGTGCAACAGACTGTTGGTTGACATTGGAAGTCACAGCATTCTGGAAATTACCTCTGACTTTATGCCTCCAACTGTCAACTATGAACTGCCTCATAAAGTAATATTCCCGAGTGGAGAGGACTGGATCCTGCGGAAGAAGTAAATATTAAGAGCAGATAGTTGTTGGTTCACAGATGGATCAAAAACACCTTCCGGTTCCGGTGCAAATGTTTTCAGTCGCAGACCCAGGACAGAGTTATCTACCTGCCTATGAACTCATGCGACTGTAATTCAGGCGGAAATATACGCTATCGAATTGTGTGCGGAGAGATTGGATGAATCCAACCTCACTCACAAGTCAATAAAAATATTTTCGGACAGTCAAGCGGCGTTGGAAGCTCTTGGCTTCCACCGAGCAACGTCTAAATTGGTAGCGAACTGTCAAAAAAGACTCTTCTCGATAGGAAGACTAAACAGATTGTCTCTGGTATGGATTCCTGGTCATACTGGCCTAGAAGGCAATTGAGCTGCTGACTCTCTTGCACAGGAGGGTGCTGCAAGCGGCTTCAATGGACCAGAACCTGTCATTGGCATCGCTTTGGGCTTTACCAAACAAACATTTAACACCTGGATGGCGAGAAGAGTTATGGACTGCTGGCAGAATCTTCCTGGATTGGCTCACTCCAATGCGTTTTTTCACCCTTCGAAGCTTGATTCCAAACAGTTGTTGGACTACCGTAGGAATGAACTACGATGTCTAACAGGCCTCCTTACATGTCACTGTCATTTGAATCATCACATGCATAGACTTGGACTGTCGGGAGACAGTGTGTGTCGCCTCTGCCTGGAAAATGATGAAACTGCAGATCATTTTTTTTTGCCTGCCCCGCTGGGGACCGAATCAGGTTCTTTGAGTTCGGCAGATCTGTACTCTCACCATGTGACCTGGAAGACTACTCACCATACAAACTAATCGGCTTCGTTAAGAAGCTGGATTTATTTGGCCGAGTGTCAATAGGTGTGAGTCACAATAAACCCTTATGGGTTGCGGTGGAGGGTCGAATAGACCCACTCACTTTAGACCTACCTACCTACCTACCTACCCTTCTCCCCCACTCCATTTCCAACAGCAAGGGTACTTCTTGCGGCGGGCGCCACAATCTCCGCCTTGAATAAAGGCAAGGAACCATCGCCCCTGCAGGAAAGCGCCCTCACTTGTGCACCCCCACGAAGGGAACCCCAAGAATGTCGCTGCACCTTCCGAAACTTTCGCGGAGGCAGCCGTGAGACACTTTAAGGTTGCCAAAGAGAATGTGTGTTCGGCGAGTCTTGGCCAATACCTGCAGATATGAAGGAGATGTCTGCTAGTGACCTGTCCACCTTCCTGGAAATGACAGGATGGACGATGACCTAAGAAGAGAACTTCTCGGAAAGAATGGGTCACATGTGGTTTGAGTGTTGTGGACCTGCACTTACCCTTTCTACTCTAAAGATACAGGTAGGCAAAAATAACAACAATTCACTACGGATGGGTTCCATTTTTTTTCGATATTTTACACAATGAAAACTTTGTAAAACTTATCACTTTTATTTTCACAAAACAATATTTTCAATGAAATCTAACATTCTTTCACGCACTATATATTATAAAAATGAAAACCACCAACACAATTTGAAACCTAAGTTATAAGTAAATGCATTTTCAAGGTTTAGGAAACTTGTTTCTGTTGAAACTATAATAAACCGTACATTTCATTTCGTTTTTGAAAAAGTAATCCAGAAGATATAACACTCGTGATTTCACTCTGGCTTTTCGTGTGATATGTTTGAAAGTATCGAACGCATCTGCAGGCGGAATTGTAGCGAAGTATCCCTCCATGTGTTTGTACAATTTCTTTTTTTGCTCTACAGTAAAATGAGATCCTATTACAGAACCAGCAGAATCCAGGGTCAAGTCCAACGCGCTTCTATAAACCAATCCAATCCAGAAACCTGAATCAAAATAAGAAAAATCAAGATGTTTTTTACATAACTCCTCAAATATAAAAAGACACTTTCACTGGTGTATTTTTTCACATGGAGATCGATAAAGTATGCTGCTTTTGAAACTGTTGTTCTAGACAGATTTGCTGGGATTTTTTCCTGACGTTTCGCCAGCGTGAGTGGCTGGTATTTCCAGAGGTCTGTGTTATCGGGTCCAATGTGCCTCTAACCTCTGAAGATGTTGGGCACTAGCGCTGGCGAATCGTCGGGAAGAAATTCTAACAAACGATGGCCTCATGGACATAGGGAAATATTCGAATTCAAACGTCCTGATTTGTGGTTTGTCAACCAAAAAAGTCCACATTAAGCATATAGAATTTATACTTAAAGTTGAGGAATAGTAACTCTGATATTTAAACCCCCCAAATATCATATTTTCAAAGTATTAAGCACTAAAAACATAAGTGCGTTCGAATGAAGTTAACTATGTTAAGTCTTCATAATACTGCAAATCTCCAATGATTTTTAACAGCCAATGAAAATAGTTGTTTTGGTAAACATAGAGTATCAAAAGTACTACAGTTCCATAATTTGTCATTCTCTCTCCAGTTCTTGCTTTTACAGAGCTTCTTTAAAAAAATCGTTCCACTTCATGGAAGTAACCATTCCAAAGGCTGGTCAACGGTACGAATTGATAAATCATGCAAAGGAAAAGGTGTCTACAAATCCTGAGGAAAAAGCTAGGTCGCAAATTTAGCTGTGCCTCTAAATATTGAATGCGCTGTAGTGGCGGAGTGTGGCGAGAGCTCATCAATATCGAGGAACTCGTGTAGTGAATATTGTGTTAGTATAGTAAGTGAAGAAATTATTCCCTGCAATAAACTCTGAGTTGTGTGTTGTCTTTTGAAATGCCTTCAAACATTTAACAAAAAAACAAAATTCCCAGGGGGCAAAGCAGAGAAATTGTGAACAAAGTTTTGAGATTTATGCAACCGGAAGCAACGGCAGGTGAAATAAGAATTCTTGTTTTCTTAAAACCCGAGAAAGAATTATTATTGATGTAGATGTGAGGTAATATGCTTCAGGTGATCATAATTGAACAGGTACGTTGAGTTCACGTAATTTTTTTGGAGCTAGTCTCAATTATGGTTACCTGTAGTATATAAATATTAATGTTAAGAACAACTTGAAGTATAAATCACTTGAAAAGCTAATGTTTTAGCAAAACATGTTGCGATATATTTTTCAAATAAAGTTCGTGGAGATCAAATCGTCAGGTGTAGTTTTTGAAAAAATGTTTGTTTTTGATTCATCTCACGTTAGAGGTTTCCGTTTTACCTTCTACTACATATGTCTAGTTCAAACTTTCAACAAATTCCACAGTCGTTTGATATCAATTTTTTATTCATTTCGCTGATCCATAACCCCGTATTTTTCTATGATAGTATGAAGAAAAAGAAGCTTCTGTGTCAAACCTCAGCCCTTCAAATTGTAAATGAACGTCTGTAGATTTTTTTCACGTGAAACATTTATAGTCGCACGTAAAACCGATTGCTGGCATGGTAACGAGTCGCCATGCGCAAGCGACGGTGCGATTCTCTTCTCACTGGTTCTGCGTTACGCTAAATCTCTCGCCACACTGAGCTCGAATACCTTTAGTGTATACAGTTGTGTTAACTATAGTATGAAAAACTCGTGTTTTGCTAATGAAATAATATTTTAAATGAATAGAAATAAAATATTTGTTACAGTGATAATTCAGAAAGTGAAAGTGAGCAGCTTTCTGCGAAGAAAGCGAAGTCACACTACCACTCACTATCAACTCACTAGTGAGTGAATTATGTTTCATTAGTTCGGACTTCCATTGTCTGATATGATATCAATTGATTTGAAATCCCCGACAAAATCTGTGGAAAATTAAAAAGATTAGCTGAAAAATAACAATTATATTAAGCAAAAACACTGAAATTACAATAAAGAAAAAATACAAGCAACAATAAAAAATTGAACTATTGACAAGAAATGAAAATTAAGCTAATCTTTTGAATTTTTATAGATTCTTTCAGGGATTTTAGATCAATTTATATTATACAAGACAGTTCACAAATCCGCTTCTTCCGGCATGTTCATACTCTAGTATGTCGTGATTATACTTTAGTATGAACAATGAACACGCCTGAAGAAGCTTCTGTATAGCGAAACACGTGTTGCGGTTTTGTAAGCAGTCCAGTGAAAATCTCACAATGAAGTGTCACTTGAATGAATATTTGAAAGTATTTTTGCATGTTTTGAAAACGCTAAAGGATTTTTTTCTGAAACGTCAGGGAAAGTATATTGTGGATGTTTTTGTTGACTTCAAAAAGGCTTCCGAAACTATCGAAAGAAGCATTTAGTTAAAAAATTTGGAAATATTGGGTTTCTCTAGTGACGTTCTAGGATGGTTTAGGAGTTATTTAAACAATAGAAGGTAGCGGGCAGTGTGTTGGGGTCACTTTTATTCATTTTGTATTGGAATGACATGAGCTTAAGTAATACAGAGTGTGAATTTATGAATTTTTTTGCAGATGTTGCATCATTCAACCACATTTTGATTATTGCAGCTCATTATTATACTCAATTTGAATGAAAAATCTCAATTACAAAAATTACAAAATAGAGGCATGAGGGTAATTCTGGTAGTAATAAATTTACACCTATAGTTTTCATGCTGGATACACTGAAATGATTACCAGTTGTGAGCAGATTGTTTTATATGACTACTATGTTGCTGTATCGCTGCTGTTGCAATGTTTTGACAGAATCATAATCAACGAACTTGAGTGTGCGCAGCTTTATAGAACAGTGCTTTGAAAAATTCTTCTACAGCGCCATCTAGTGGCAAGTTACAGAAAAATTGATAGCCTAAAAACCTTCTTTATGAAAAATTCCTTATACATGTCAAGTTTCATTACGATCGGTTGAGCGATGTAAAAGTTTATCACTATCCAACCAACCAATCAACCAACCAACCAACAAACATCCATTTTTATATGTTAGATTAGGCAATGGAAATTCGGACTGATGAAATGTACCACGAAAAATTGTCAACCATCTTCATATAAGTGGATTATATTCTCATGTTCTATAATCAAAGTGTGCATTTATTTGAGCCCACATATATTTGGTCTGTCTCAAAAGTCAGCAAATGTAAAATCTACTCTCTTGGTAGATTGAAATTCACATAATTAAATTTCATCCGTATGAAAAATAATGGACTCAAACACTTGTTTGAAGAATGAATTTCATAAAGACTCACAAAATTATATTTCACAATCATCTGATAGCGAGTAGCGCACGATTGTTTTCTCATTTTTTATTAACAGAAACATCAAAAAATTAATTGAATATTTACTTTCCTAATGATGGTGGAATTTATATTGAATTTATAATAGATATTTATAATTGAAGATCTTAAGTAGTACGTTGCAATAATTAGCAAAGATTTTTGAGTTAACTAGTATATTGAAGTCACATTAATATTTTTTCATGTATATTTTGATAATATATTTTCTATAAATATTTCAGTACCTACCCAACAATCATCACAGGGCTGACAGAATATTATTATTGATGTTTCACGTCTTACAGGCGTCCCGTGAATTCTCACAATTATTTTAATTCAAAAAAGACCAATTTTTCAAATTCATAACTCGGTTGTTTTTCAACATTTTTCAACGTGCCTCTACTCTTCTACTCTTCAGAAAAACTTTTAACTTATGAGAAAAAACTTTGCATCTCAACAAATTTCCATGTTATATGTGAAAATTTGAGAACTTTGAAGTTTGACCTTGGGATTGAAGGTCAAGAGTCAAATTGGCAAGTTTTTTTAAAGTTTTTCTGTTTCTGCTGAAGAATGCCGTTGGGCTAAGAGATATTCCTTTTTAATTTTTCTGGTTTTAGTTTTCTTTGGTGCGGCCTACCGAGCCAGATTTGATTTTATTTGAATTTTTTCATACTGATTATTATTTCTTTCTTGAAAAATTCATGCTGTTTTCCAAACAAAAACGTATATGAATTCAAACTCTTGAAGACGAATATACGGATGTCATGAATTTCAATAGACTTACCTGCTAGTCCACCATAAACTCCTGCCACAAATAATCCCATAATTGTGATCACTATAATCACCATTCCCCTCCAGATGACATCTCTTTCGACTGTCACTCGCATTTTTGTATCATATGCTATCAATTTACATACATCTATTATCGTTATTTCCTTTTCGTCCATATCCATTTTCGGGTGAAGGGAAATTTACACGGTTTAATTCGAAAAATTGAGCAGCCCACTGTAGACAATGGCAAAATGACCATTCTGCGGTCGAAAACATTTTTCAAGGACAAAATTTATTGGACCTAATCTAACCTAACAACATAATTCATGTGAGCTTATCTATAATTAACCTCTGT